AACAAAACTCTTCCCTCGCACTGTAAACCCGCCCCGCCTACAAAGATGCCTGGCGTTGCACGGCGGCTGCAGCTACCCTGTCATTCAAGCCGGCCGCCAGGAGGGTGCCCGAAACCCTTGCCTCTCCCGAGCCCGTGACAGCGGTCCAGGTAGGGACCCACACGTGCACTCACAGGGACAACGTCCACGGTGCAGGTGGTGGCTTTGGGTATTTGCTCCATCTCTAGTTAGAAATATTACAGGAAAAGACAGACATCGGCTTGCACTGAAGGCAATATGTATGATTAAATTCTCTAAGCCACCGTAAGTGCAACTGTCTGACTGCATTTGCGGGGGAGGGGCGGGGGACCACTGCTGTGAATGAACTTGACCAGAAACCCAACAAAGGTCTGATGCCAGTCCTTCCTGTACCACAGCTGGAACGTCCAGGGTGGTGCTTTCCAAACGGTGTGTCATGACCCATTGACGAGTCACTGAGTAAAGTTAATGATGAGCTTCTGCTTTTTTTTTTTTTTTTAACAGAGAAAGAACAGAACATCACAGAGAATAAGCAGATACTGTTTCACTTAGGGGGGCGGCTAGTGCGTGGTGCTTGTGCATAGATCAGGTCAAGAAACTAAACATGTTTCCTGTTGCAGAAACACCAGACTAGAGGTCACTGATCTGGAGCAAACTGCTTAGCCTCTGTGAACTTGCTTCTTATCTTTTAAATGGTCATTATCATTGTACTTCGGAGAATAGACACAATTAAGATAACTCCACACCATCTTTTGGGCTATGAAACATTGTATCATTATTGCAGTGACAGCATTTGGGTTGAGCCTCCCCAGAGCGGGCTGATGCTCTGCCTACCAGCTCACAGCCTAAACTGACCACCCTAGCGACTCGGACGTGCCGTCCCGAAGGCAAGTCTGAGGCCGCAGCCTCCTACGGAGAGCTGGAGGCAGGAGAAGTCCGAGCTTCCTGAAATGTTTACAGTCTCCCTGGTTGTCCCTGCCAGATGGCCTCAGGGGAAGAGCCACGATGAGGCTGGAAAGGCAGCTTGTCTGTGCTGCGGTGGGGACCCCGTGAAAGAATCACCCCTTAGGAGGAATGACCCGGAGAAAGGGAAACCTGTGCAGAGGCCCTGGCCGCAGGAGGGCGGACGGAGGTCGCCCGGGCCCTCCGCGTCCACAGGGCCCTCCGATGGCACTTGTACTTGGAGATGCGGTCCCTGCTCTTCCCACTCACAGCTCGGAACCCCGAGTCAGGCTCCAAACGCCACCAACACGTCACTGTCTAGTTATACGTGTTACCAGGGCACATCATGGTACCCCACGAGGAGCCGCGCTAAGACACTGCTAGCCAGGAAAATGACAATGGCTAGGCGGAAAGACCCCCGCCCTCCTACGGCTCCCACACACTGCCCTTCCAGGGCGCCCCCCGCTGGAGAAGAGTGGGTCTAAAGACCCCACCGCGGTCCCTGCTCTCTCCAGAAACGGGAGGGGCTCTAAAGAGAGAGACAGAGATTTCTACTGGGACCAGGGGGACATCTCCGAGGACTCAGGAGTACGATGAACATACTTCCTTTTCAGCAGGACACTCGTGCCCTTCGGGCCAGCGTGTTGTGAGGTTTGTGTCGTGGAAGGCCCAGCCAGGCTCGCACAGGTACAGCACCTGGCTGGGCTGAGGGGCGCAGCTTGCAGCCAGCGGGAGTCTCTGGCTGGCCTGGGAACGCGGTGCCCGGACGCCTGCTGAACCAAGGAGCGCAGAGATCCGTCTGCCGTGGTCCTCGCTTCTCTGTGACAACCGCCCCCACCCTCCCCACTCAGGGAGGGGAGGGAGGCAGGACAGATGGGGACAAGCGGGAGGCAGGCAGTGATGGCGTGGACATTGTGAGGGGCCATCAGAACGCTTTAGTCCCCGCGCTCCCCTCGCCTCTGCCCACCCCAGCTGCCACTGGAGAGAGTCAAACGGACTGACGAAGTGAGCGGCCATCACCTGCCTGCATTTGGGACTCTCGCCAAGTAGCTTCCGCTCACCTCTGATCTCCGTGAAAAGCGAGGTGGGGCGTGCCACAGCGAAAGTGTTTTTCCCATAACAATCTTTACACAACAGGAGTGTTTTGTAACCGAAACACATACGTGCTTGGCAGAGCTCTCCAGAATTGGGGCTGGGAGGGACCCTGGGTATCATTTGACCCAGAGACGAGGGCCCAGAGAGGCTAAGTGACTTGGCAAAGGTCACGCGGCTGACAGTACGGTCCAGATGAGCAGCAAGGCTAACCAGAACCTCCCAAGATCAAAGGTGCCGACGGTGGTGCCTCCCGACGCGCTTTTCAAGAGATAAGGCGCCCTGTCTCCCAGGACCACACCTGCACCCCTGTGCCTTTCAAAGTCCCCAGAGTCAGAGCGATCAGGTGTGGAGCGGAATGTACGTTGCCAAAGGCCATGCATCAGTTAAGTGGAGGAAACAGCCCACCCACCAGGGCTGAAGAGGAATTTCACTCCCTGACCGAAGGCAAGTCATTCTACCCATGTTTACAGCACGTTGTTTGAAACCGGAATACAAATATTAACATGCAAAGACATGATTACTTCATGCATGACTGATGGTAAATAAGACGTACCGTTGCAGAAACACACAACCTGCACTGGAACCTCAGGTATTCCGAGTTACAAAGGGTGATGTATTCCAAATTACAACCACACCTAATACCAGCCGAAGGTGTTCGCCCCGAAGCTACCATTTCTTCAGTATTTATAAACACTGGATGCGAGAAACGCACACAGGAACCAAGGCTCAGAAAACTAACCTGCAGCGTCGGCAGCTACAAAGCGGGCTCTCCGCGGGGAGAATGAAGTCCGCACATAAATGTATGCGGGCACGCTTTCCACCAACACGCACACTCCCCCATCTGACAGATGGGTTCCAAGAAGCAGCGCAACATCCCATAAGCCAAGCGAGCAAAAATCAATAGTAAAAGCGGCCTCACGTTCCTGAACGGGTGACGCTGCGTAAACGAGCCCAGCAGACGGCTCTGCCTCACCTTCCCCGGCGGCCGCCTCGGCGCGCAAGCACGCGCTCCCCACGCCGCCGCCGCCCCCTGCTCTGCTGCCAAACCACAGCCACCCCGCCGCCGCGGGCGGGCGTCCGCCGCGGGCCCCCCGAAGGCTCCCTCCACTGATAACATCCGGTCTGCCGGCCCAGGGAACCCCAGCGCCTTTGCAGCCTCTGCCCGCCGCCGCTGGTCAAGAAAGGCCAGAACACAGCTCATCTGATACCAGCTCCCCACCTGTGACCCCGCATGGACGGGAACCAAACAACTACATCCCAGCGGCAGTCCGTGTAATGTGGCACCTGGAGGAGAGCGGCGTCTGGGACGGGGCCCCAGCGGGACCCCGCCGCCGAACGGGTCTGTGCTTCCTCGGTGGTTAAGCCCAGTGACAAGGGGACACTCCGGCTCCCCGCCAGTCCGGCAAAGGCAGCGTCCCCACCTAGCAAGAGTTAATCCACCCCCACGGAGGGGCGGGGGCGGGGCGGCCTAACCACCGGCGCCCACTCCCTCCACACGCCGAAGAGAGGAAGCTGGAACTCCTTCCCGAAGGTGGGCCGGGGACAAACTATTGTCTCGCTCAGAGCCACAGCCCAGGCTGGAAGCTAATGCAGAAATCGGAAATGACTGGGTTCTGCCATACCGCCCTCTCAGCGGGCCCCGAAGTCCCACGTACCTGGGCAAGATCGGGGGGAAAAATCCCCTATGACTCCCCGGAAAGGCTTTCCAGGGTTTTTAAATTACGGGCAGATGAATTTAGAACATAAACAAACACCTACCCATCTCCTAAATCACTTCATCTGTACCCAATTTTTTTAAAAAAAAGAAAAGGAAAGGAAAAGAAAGCCCACGGGCAGGACGGGGCTTTGGAGGCAATCAAGGTCGCTGGCGAAGTCCGTAACGCTTTCTCCCTGTGAAATCCTCCGAGACGCTCTCATTGCCTCGGGCTGCGGCGGGCGGGTCCGAGTCCCAGCCCTGGAAGAAGCTACTGCCCAGGGGCGACCCGGCTGAAACCAAACAGCAGAAACGGGAACCGCGACCGGCCCGAAGCGGGGGGAGGGAAAGGAAGGGAGACCCCCGCGCTCATCAGTCACCATTAATGCCCTTTGTTGTTCACCTTCGCGCAGAGCGGCGCGCGCTGCCCCGCTCCCTTCCCCGGGAGCGCCCGGGTCTGGGTGACCCCGTCCGGAGAGCGGGGCGTCCTCGCCTCGGAGACCCAGGCTCTCCGAGCCTGTCCCCGGCATCGCTCCACAGCTGTCCCCCCCCTCCCCATCACCGCCCCCGCCGCCGCGCCAAAGTGAAAACCTCCTGAAATGCCCGTTCCCCTCCGAAGAGCAGAGCGGAGCCGCCCAGATGTTGACAAGTACCAGCGCCCCCGCCCCTCGGGACACAGAGCCCTGAACCCCGGGGCGGGAGGGAGGAGGGCGAGGAGGCTCCGGCCGGCTCCGGCTGTCACCACGGCTGCCGAGCGCCGGGCCCCATTCCGCACTCCGGCGACGACGACGGGCGCCCAGGGGGAAGGTCTGCGCCTCCCTCTGTTTTGGGGGTGTTCTCTCTGCGCGGTGGCTCTCGTCTCCCTCTCCAACCTGGGAAGAATCGTCGCAGCGCACAGCCGTCGTGGGGGAGACGGGGAAGGAAGACGGGAAACGCCGTCCGCCCTCCTCTTCCAACTTGACACACACCCTGTCGCCACTCCAAACTCCGCAGGCAGAGCCCGCCCGCCGCGGGCGGCTCCGCGCGCCCCCCCCGCCGACCCGGGGGCCCGAGCCCCTTCAGGCGGTGGGGGGCGAGACCCCGGCGCTCGCCCCTCGGCCTGGGGCTGCCTCCCCGAAGCCCGACCCCGCGGCGCGATGCCCGGAGGAGGCGACTGCAGCCGGGCAGCGCTCTAGGGGCGCGGGGGACAAGGACGCGAAATGCGCACCCGCTCGCCCCGAGCGGGATAAAAGTTGGCCCCGCGGAGACTCACCCACGCCGTATTTCTCGTGCTCCGTAGGCATCCACATGGCGAAGCAGGGCTCCGGGTCTCGGGGCTGCACAGCCCCGCGCCCCTTCCCCGGCTCACAACAATGCTCGGCTGCCCGGGAGCGGCTGCGGCGCTGGAGCCCGGCGGCTCCGCGCGGGCTGCGGAGGCTCGTCTGCGCCGCGGGCTGCCGAGCCCGGCGTTGACACCGCGCGGCCCACGCTGCGCCGCCCGCCGCTCTCCCCCGGCGGCGGCGGCTCACAGTCCTCCGACGCGCTCCCAGGGACCCGGCGGCGCAGTCATTGTTCTGATTCACTGAACTGAGCGAACACGCCGGGGCACTCTCGGGCGCACCCCCGCCCGCCGGCGCCCGCTCCGGCCCTCCCTGCCCGGCGTCCCCGTGGCACACTGGGAATTGTAGTTCCCGGCCACCCCATCCCGGAAAGGGGCGTGGCGGCAGCTCCTAGGGGCGGGGTTTGGGGTTCGCTTGCCGGGTCCTATTGGCCCAGAGCGTGACGGCACGACGGGGGCGGGGAGGAAGTGTCGCGTGCACGGGGAGGGCGCCCCCAGTCGCGTCTGCATTGGTTCCTGTCGGCACCTGCCCCGCCCCGCGGCCCTCCCTTTTCCTCTGCCGGCCGTCATGGCTGCTCCCTTGGCCCTGGGTGCTGCTCCCCGAGGCGAGGAGGACGATCACTGCGATCGCCCCGGGGCCGGGGCTGTCAGTAACGAGGGTGAGTACGGCGCCCCCAAGGTGCAGGCGGCCTGCGCTTTTTCTGCTTTCTCTCGGACCAGGACGCAGCTAGCCGCCGGGCGGACCCACGCTGCTGCCCGCTTGGAGATCACCTGGGTGGGAGGTGGCCAGGGGTGGGGCCCAGAAGTACCGGCGGGTCGGTCGCGGCTGGTGGGTGCGGGCTGTCCCGGGCGGGAAGAGAAAACGGGATGGCACGGCCTTCCGGGCAGCCACGAGGCTCCCTGGGCGTTGAGAGCTCTCCGCGTCGCTGGGGAGTGGGTGTGGGTCAAATCTGGCTCGCGCGAGGGCAGTGATCACGCAGGGATGAGAGCTCTTTTTCTTCGCGGGCACCCTGCCTCCGCCTCTGTTTGCTTTGTGTGGCCTCCGGGAGAAGAGTTTTACTGGGATTCGCGCCGATTTTCGTTTGCAGACGGGCCACTGCTGTCCAGTTTGCAGACACGCCTAGTGGTTGGCTGGCTGGCTGGAGCGGCCCCTGAGGGGTGTGTGTGCCCCTCCCAGATTCCGGAGCCCTTCTTTCACTGCCCCTGGGGTTTAGGATTGAACGTGGAGCCTGGGGTCCTTAGGGAAAGAAGAAAGGAAGTGGTAATCGGCACTCCTGACTTCAGAGAATGTTTGAAGGTGGTTATGAAAATCACAGCAACGTTGGCTCTATTTGACTTCCAAGTTGTTCTCTAATCCACTGCAGAGATGAAACCGCAAACTTTGAAAACTGTAGGGGGCGTGTCTTTAGGCTTCCTAGGCCCATTCTTTTACCCTTTGGCCCATCCCTAGCCCCCTCCCCGCCCCTTCTTCGGCCCTGATAGGTAATTTAGCACTGCAAGTTACCTTGCTGTGATGGACCTGGTTTGGGGCTTAAATTTGGTTCACAGCCCTTGGTGAGGGTTTTTTTGCTCTTTCCTTATTAATGCTTTCGCAGTTAAATTAGTCGGATATTTAGTCTTAAATAAATTCTTGAGCAGTACAGAGATAAAGTGCAATTACTTCCCATCAGTGGAACCACCTAGCCCTGCAATTATTTCAGCACCTCTTCCAAAGAAAACTTTGTTGGCTCCTGAGTTAGATATTGAGTTATACCCACACCCGACACAGTTCATCATTGAGTTGGCCATACAGTCAGCGCTTAATGTGATAGTAACAGGCTGTTAGCGCTTTCCAGATTCTTTACAAATTCCCCAGGGCTATCAAGTTACCATCCAAGAATGGAATCCTCAAGGGATGTTTGTCACAGATTAACCATAAAAACAAAAATAGGGTATGCCTTTCACAAACATCAAGGAACAATGAAAAATCATTGGTTATTTTAAGTTTATAAGAATTCTCATTATCAACATTTCAAGATGCTCAAAAACACGCGAGGTACAAAGTGAAAATTCCTCCGTCACACAGCCCCGGAGCGACAAGTGTCGGTGGTTTGGTGTGTGTTCTTTCCGGCATGTTCCTCAATGACACGCGTCTCAGCGGCTGTGAGTCTTTAAAAATGAAAAGGGATCATTCCACGTAAGAGCAAAGAGCTGCAGTCTTCCTTGTCCCGAGGGTCTCTTACAGACACTCTTCCTATTGGTGCATTTATGGCTCCCTTCCTTTAAAGGACCATGCCCACTCTGCTCCGTAACATGGGTGTGCCTCACTCCAACCATTCCCCTATCCCTGAGCACACACTGGGGCTTTAGTTTTTCAGTAATGACGTATAGTGAACGGCTTTACGTACATATCCTTGGCCGCTGTGTATGTGTTTCTCAACAAACTGCTGGGTCGGAGGTTACGCGTGTTGAAAATGACACATAGTAGACGCTGGGTCTTGCCTGCACGAGGTGTCAGTGCACCTTCCCACCGGTGTGTGAGAGCAGCCGCTCCCCGGGGCCTCCCCAGCTGTGAGGGGACCAGTCCAGGGCCCGTGTTTCAATGACTAGTAGATCGAAGTGAGTAACGGATGGAAACCTTAACTTAGATTCCAGTTTGTTTTCAACAAAAGCACTGGGCAGCTACAGTGAATCTGCAGCATTTGTTGAATGAACAGAATCCCTCAGCCTGGCTCACAACTGCTCAGAGTTCTCACTAGTTCGTACAAGTCAGTGGGAGAGCTCGATGGTTGATTTTTGTGTTTTCCTTACAAAGTGCTCGTTAAAGATTCCCTTTATAACCCAAGTATCATTCTGAGACTTTATCCGATTCTTTTCCAGGCCTACAATGGGATACGAATTTGGGGCAGAAATAATGACTTTGAAAGTATATTCATATTTTTTGTCAGGCAACCACTTCAGTTATCGAGCATGCTTTTTCCCATAAAATCGTTCATTTTTTTGAAAACTGCCTTTTTAGAGAAGTTTTCCTCTAGCTTTAATTAAAATGTCAATCTGGGCGTTCCATCCCCCGAGACAGGTGGGCCTAGGAGTCTTTTCATAGAAACCCTTGCAATTCTTCACGATCTCTACCACGAGGCGTCACTGGGTGGTGCACAGGCGGGCACCGCGCCTCCCCTGCCTTGCCAGCCCTCCGAGGCTCCCTGCACGGCGCGGCTTCCCATACGTCTGAGCAGTGACTAGGGTTTCATATTCTCCCCTAAAGGAAGGACAGACAGTAAACAGGCTCAACATTTCTCACACTTGGGAGGTGTTACTGGCCGTTTTCTTCTGCTGTCTCTGATCGGGAGGCGGTAGGGGAGCACACCTGTAGTTTGGCAACTACGCATGCGCTGAGGACACTTCTTGAACCAGGTCTGTGCCTCCCTGTTGTGATATCCCGACGGTCAGCTGCCCCCTGCGAGGGCTCGCCCAGTAGGTGATGCTTCTGGGGATGCCTCGCCTTGGGGGCCTCATTAACTCCTGTGTGCTGTGCCTGGAGGGAAGGGGGCCGCAGGGGGCCCTGCTGGAGCCCCGTGCTGGTCAGCGTGGAAGAAACACTGACGGCTGGGACACGGTCCTGGTCCCAAGAGCACCGTTTGGAGGGTGCGGGTTGCAAGGAATTCAGCAGAGACGGGAAAGGGTTACAAGTAGAACAGTGGCTAAAGAGACGGCCAGAAAGAACAGACGCAAAAGATTATTTCAGGCACAGGAAAATAAGGCACGGTATCTGATCAGATTCGGGACCCGAGGGCGAGATAGGAATCAAAGTTGCTCCCAGGTTTCTAACCAAGGCTCCACGCTGTTCTCTGGAACAGGAACCACAAGACCGAGGCGCTGACACCCCCTGCGGCCCCCTTCCCTCCAGGGACCGCACCCAGGAGTTAATGAGGCCCCCAAGGCGAGGCATCCCCTACTGGGCGAGCCCTCGCAGGGGGCAGCTGACGGTTGGGATATCACAACAGGGAGGCACAGGCCTGGTTCAAGACGTGTCCTCAGCGCATGCGTAGTTGCCAAACTACAGGTGTGCTCCCCTACCGCCTCCCAATCAGAAACAGCAGAAGAAAACGACCAGTAACACCTCCCAAGTGTGAGAAATGCTGAGTCTACTTACTGTCTGTCCTTCACTTAGGGGAGAATATGAAACCCTAGTCACTGCTCAGACGGATGGGGAGCCTTGCCGTGCAGGGCCAGGGACCTCTGTGGAGAGGGCTGCAGCCTCGGAGGGCTGGCAAGACAGGGGAGGCGCGGTGCCCACCTGCGCACCAGGCAGGGGCCCCACCTCCAGTCACCCCGCTCCCCCTCCCACCTCTCTGTTATCACACGGATGTTATCGGGCTGCAGGAATGTGCCGGCAGCTTTGTCTACCCTGGAAGACCACAGACTTCTTGGGGGCCAGAGTTGTCTTGTTTCACTTCTGCGCACTCAGGGCCGATCAGAGCTGCAGGGAGCAAACTGTACCAGCTCAGGGGTTAGGGTCTGTTTGAAATGTATCCAGAACCTATCATGGCAGCCGTTTTAAGCAAAGGAATTGAAAAAAGAACTGAAAACTGAGCAGATATTATGTTCGTGAAAGTTTTACGTGCCAACTGATACATAATATCCTCACAAAGACGGTACCTTGTCAGAGGGCATCATAGTTAGCATTTTAGCATGGTTTTCAGCCCTTTTGTAAGTGAAGTTTTAGCGTTGTTCAGGCGACAGTTACACGAGCCCTTCAGGTCTTCGTGAGCAGCTACCTGGACCTTAACTCCAGCCTCCCGCCCGGTTCGGCTGTCCCTGGTTTCCGCGGCACCGCCTCATTCCCAGAGTCAATGCTGATGTTCCCTCTTTCCACTGCCCCATTCCCTGGCGGGACAGCGGAAAGAGGGTCAGACACTGCCTTGGAAAAGCCGTATTTACATGTCAGCTCTGCCACTCGGTAGCTGTGACGTAGGTCTACGGCACACGCTGCTGCACTGATGCAAACACAGCTATGACACCCACTTGGCAGAGTCACTGCAGTTATGGAAGCCCAGCGTGTGCCCGTGGATAAGGCTGGGCCTCCATCCATTGTAGTCGCTTTTGATACAAAGATCGGCCTCCTCGAGCTGCCTGCCCCCGGACCCCGTGTTCGCTCGGGAAGCTGTCTGAGTGGCGGTGTAACCCAGGGCAGGCTCAGGAATGCGCCGCCGATAGCTGCTCCGGTCTGCGTGCGCTCATGGAATCCGGGGGTTGTCCGAGTGTCTGCTGGCGCTGCGCGCTGGAATGGCAACTATGCGCTCTGAAAGGCTTTTTATAGTTT